ATGGTTAGACTACTTGGCCTCTAGTAATGATAAGGATATGAGAGAGAAGATGAAAGAAAGATATAAGCTGCAGAAAGTTCACACGAAAGCATTGATTGAGGAAGTGCGTGAAAGGTGTAGAATGGAAGCGGATGAAAGGTTGTCGCACAACTTTAAGGAGAACTCCAAACTCTTCTGGAAAGAGGTTGGAAGGACCCGAAGTGGTACGACGGCCTTAAGAATGAACAAAGTGCTTTCGAGAACTAATGACGTCCTCTCAGAAAAATCGGACGTCATGCAGCGATGGAGCGAATTTTATAGAGAAATGTATGCGTGTGATGATCTTAGTGAGGGATCCGGGGATGACGCCGTGACTGGCACGCCAGACCCGGACCTCGATGACACTGAGGTCATCAGTATGAAAGAGATTGAACGTGCGATTCGAAGTTTGAAATGTGGTAAGGCTGCGGGACTAGACAGAGTTACTGCTGAAATGGTCAAGTATGGTGGGCCTCGCGTCTGGGACAGCTTTCATCTGCAGTGCAATTTGTGCTGGCGGACGGGGGATGTCCCGGATGATTGGCGATCCGCAGTCATTGTGCCTTTATATAAAGGTAAAGGTTCACATTTTGACTGCGGGTGCTATCGGGCGATCAGCTTGACCAGTTTAGCAAGTAAAGTTTACTCGAAGGTTTTGACACGTAGGATGCAAGAGAAATCAGAAAGATTTCTATGGGAGGCACAATGCGGATTTAGACCTGGAAGAGGATGCACGGATCAAATGTTTTCTCTCCGTATGATCACGGAAAAGCTTCTGGCTGTTAACCAGAAGATTTTCTGTGCTTTTGTGGATCTTGAGAAAGCATTTGATAAGGTTGTAAGGAAGAAAATGTGGGAACTGTTGCCGGGGTATGGTGTGGATGGCCGATTGCTAAGGGCTGTGCAGTCTCTTTACTGTGACTGTAAAGCCTGTGTGCGGGTAGGGCATGACCTGTCACCCATGTTTAGCGTCCAAACGGGCGTAAAACAGGGTTGTGTCATGTCTTCCTGGCTGTTCATACTGTATCTCGACAGCTGTTTACAAAAGCTGAAAGATAGCTGTTTGGGTGTGAAATTGGGTGACATAAAAGTAAATTGTCTGCTGTATGCTGATGATGCAGTGCTTATTGCACCATCAGAGGCAGAACTGCAGGCATTAGTCACGTGTATGAAAGAGGAATGTGAAATTAAAGGTCTCCGTTTGAATGCTAATAAAACTAAGGTTCTGGTATTTGAAAGGGACGAAGAGAGAACGAAGTGTGAAATATGGGTAAATCAGGAATGTCTAGAACAGGTAAATGAAATTGTATACTTGGGGAGTGCTTTTAGCCGGGATGGAAGATGTGATTTAGATGTGGACAGGCGTGTCGCTGCCGGGAACAAAGTCAATGGTGCCCTGACTGCGTTAGTCAAAAGGCAAGGCGTAGCGAAGAGTGCACGCCTTGCAATACATAACGCAGTGTTGGTACCGACTTTGTTATATGGCAGCGAAACCTGAGTATGCCAGAAGAAGCATAAAAGTAAGTTGAATGCAGTGGAGATGCGATCTCTTCGTAAAATGTGCGGCGTTACTATGGCCGACCGAAAGCGAAACGAAGAGATTCGCAATATGGCAGGTTTGAAAGATGACCTTATCACAAAAATTGATAAGGGCGTGCTTCGGTGGTTTGGGCACGTTGAGCGAATGAGTGAAGACCGAATGGTAAAGAAAATATATAGCGCGAAAGTTAATATTAAAAGGTGTCGAGGTAGACCGAGACTAACTTTCGAAGACCATGTGAGCAAATTGCTCGAAGAGGGTAGGGTCAAGAGTACTCGGATACCTAGACGTGCATGTATGAAGAAGATAATGAATCTGAAAGAAGCGAAAGAGATATGTAAGGATCGTGACACTTGGCGATCTGTTCTCTCTGGCTACCCCGTCAGGGATTGTGCGTGAAGATAAGTAAGTAAGTATTAATAATATATTACCCATTTTGAAACGTCTGCCTTTTATATGTTGCCGCGATGTATTTCAGTAACTTCACAGTAAACGAATAAACTGAGTTCAGTCCCCGCCGTCACCACTGAAAACATTTTGTGGAAACGTGCATGTCTGAGAATAATGAAGAAAAATTTTTAAGGGCATTGAAATCAGCCAACACGCACTGGGGAATTTGGGCGGAAAGAAGTTTGTTTCCCCAGGGCTAAGAGCAGGGAGCCTAGCCTGGTCAACTATTACTTGGTTTGACTTTGTTAACTGGGCCATGTACCTAATCATTCTCTTTGTTGTGGCAACATTATTTCGAAAACATTACAAATAATGTTTATTCAAAGTGCTTTTTTAGGCTGAGAACTCATGGAGCGATATTTATCAGCGCCCGCAGCGGTTGCGGGATCGCCACACGCGTAATGTACGAAATCTAAATATAAGACTATAATAGTTAACTACATGACGCGATTAATGACCGCGTCGTGTTCAGTTGTTTGCGGATTCCGCTATACCGGTGGGAATGGTTGTAAAATCGTGCAGGCTGCGATCACCCGTGTAATCATAAACCGAGGGCACGTGGCGACATGGAGACCTGGTGACATTACCGGCCATCGATGCATCGCAAATAAAGTCTTTGTGCTCGCCTGACTTACGATCATTTCCTTCAAAATCTCAGTCGTTACCACCGCTGCGGGGGCCCCAATCCATACAAAACTACGGTCTCGTGAGCTTCGAAATAGAATTGAATTAGTTTTATTTAATATAGATTACAAGAATACGTATTGAAAATCATTTTTAAACATTAATTTACAATATAATATTTTAAGCAATTAGGTATGAAAACATTTAGAAACAGAATGTATAGGTAGCGACCACCTCATTTCCAGGGGCTATTTATTTTCAACCTTGTACTCTTATTTAATTTTTATTTTATATCATTTTATTCGGAAAACCTACAGCAATTACTTTTTTAAATAAAAAGTGTAATAATGTAACTATTAAACCACTTACAAGTTTCCACTTTTAGAGTTAATAATAAAGCAGACAAACTTAAGCCAGATCAAAGATAAATCGACTAACGACGAGTTAACAATAACTTAAAGCTAAAAATTATCTTAATATATATTTTAAGAATACAGATAAACATTTTTAAGTAAAATATACTCCGGTTAAGGTACTTTTGGCTACATTCAGATAAGTATTTAAATGGGTCAAGTTGACGAATTTATAAATTTAGCAGTTCTAATCATGAAATAATTACGTAGTCTATAGTTCGTATGAGCTTTTTAACAGTATAATAACACTTATTAAATTATTTTTACTTAAAAAAACCTTTGATATATAAGCGCTACGGGTGTGGGTAAATATCGCTCCGTGAGTTCTTAGTCTAAATGTTTTACAGTGAAGCGAGGTTCTTAATTATTTATTGAAAATTTGTGTTAGATAAAGTGATACGACTACCCTATAATTTGGAGTCAATATTAAATATTGGGCATTTTTCATAGTACGCACGCCATAACCAAATGTCGCTAAATACCGAATGTACCTCTGCATAATTAAACTGTAGGTACTTACTTTGTAGGGCAAAGGTTGTAATTTTATTAAGTTCTTGGGGCAGCTAAATTTTTTGTATTTATTTAGCTGGAGCGAGTGCGACGTCTGAATAATTTAATGTTGAAATGTATGAATGTTTGGGATTGGGTAGAAAGCCCTTTTACATAATATTTTTCTTGTGAATATTTTAGTTTAACTCCTCTGGAAAAATCTCGCTTATGTTTTTTTTTTATGGAAACGCTTACTTAAACTAACCATTAATTATCTCTATACCTGTCCCTTTCTGTTGTTATTGAATAGAGAGAGAGAGAGAGAGAGAGAGAGAGAGAGGCAGAGCAAGTTTAAGCACTTCCAAAATAGACGTTGATTTTCAAGAGCAAGGTCGTCAGTGTTGCCAGCGTGTCCTGTCTAAAAGATGCGTCGGCATGTTTGAAAAATTACATTTTAAAAGTACACATACATAGGCCTCCCTCATAGATTACCTCATTTGGAGGAGATATTTGCCTTAGTTGCCACACTTGGCAGGCGTGTTGGCAACTGCAGTTTTTGATATTTTGAGTTGTTGTATGCTGTTGTACTACTGTACTAGGTACTAACGTACTTTACCATAAATATTTAAAAAATAATCTGTTAATTCTCGATAATAGCGAAAATAACTAGCGTTTGATGGGTCACTCAGCAAACTGACTAAAATAACTAGTTTTCATAGCATTTTATAATGATGGCTCCGTGGCGCAGTGTCTTAGCAATGAGTTGCTGAGGTGGGGACTGCGGGTTCGAACCCCGCACGGAAGAAGTATTTGTATGGCCTACAAATAATTGTTCCGGGTCTGGATGTTTGTCCTTGTGCAATTTGTGTTTGTAAACTGCCTCCACGATACAGGAGAAAATCCTAGTGCGGGGATAACGTTTTCTACAAAAAAAAAATAGCGAAGAAATTAATTTTTCAAAAAGTAACACAAAAACTTTTCTTACAAATAAGTTACATGGGCTGACAAGAAGCTACGTAAAATGTAAGTAATGTAACCTTCTGGCAACACTGAAGGCCATCTGTGTGTAGCGTTTGCTGGATTAAGTTTTATTGCTTATCTTATTACAGTTGGAAGCCAATATCTGTGATGAAACCAAACAGTTTTGTTTTATTGAATGGGGTCATGAGACCTTACTGGAAACATGCAGTATTATTGATATGCCTTCTTTATCTAATGTTAGTCTTAAACTAAAATCTGTTTTACGAAAGAATGCAGCGGTAGTAAGCGAGCAATGGAATTTGACCGCAACTGTCAATTTCTTTAATAGGATATGCGAGAATGAGATATGCATCTATGCGATCTATGGATTACAGCATCATTTACCATGAGCTAGACTGTGTGCTCGTTTGTCACCCTTATCCTATAAAATAGTAGGTTTCGTAATAAGACTGAGCGTAAGTTAAACTCAAGTTGTGCTCTTACAGATGAAGATGAGGCGACGACGTCCGGCATCACGGATGGCGCAGCGGGAGATCAGCAGAACCGTATCATCTTCGTGAACCGCACTCAGCCGCAGAAGTTTGTCAACAACAGCATATCCACCGCCAAATACAGGTATAGTGACTGACATACATAATATGTATTCATAATATAATCATAAATGTATTTAAGTAGGTAGGCATTTATATATTTATCGACGTAATTAAGTATACAGGTTGTCCCAAAATAGTGTAAGGCACCCCTTGGGGTACCCGAATCACCTCCTTGTATGTTCCGCGATTTTTCAGTGTTCTGAATTATTAAGAATTTTCGACCTTAACAACTTAAAATAAAATCGAAAAAAGGTAGAAGGACTTTTTTGCAACTGAATCGTCATGAGCTGTTCTTTTATGCTTAAAATTATCAGTGTGAAAAATTATGAAAATGTTGTTAAGTGTAAAATTTACGTTCGGTGAATTATGATTTAAATTTTTTTATACGTGGTAGAGCCATGCTGCAGCTATATTAGTAGTATAGTTGTAGCGCGAATGGGTCAGCTCGACCTGGGAAGGACCACGCTCTCACAGAATACCAGCGTCAAAATAGCAGCTTACCGCTGTTGTGTTTCGTATGGTGAGTGTAGAGAACCGGAGACCCTTTTTACTGGAAATGAGGCATTCTATCTTAGTCCTCACGGGTGACAACGCATCTGCATTTTGGTTTGTAATAGAGGATAGATGTAGATGTCTATGGGCCGCAGCAACCACTTACCATCAGGCGGACTGTGTGCTCGTTTGTCACCCTTATACTATATAAAAAAAATGCTATTTAAAATTAAAAATCTAAATAGGTGACTTGATGGTTCCTAAGTATGTCTTAAGAATTTTCTAGACTCAACTTTCATAATCATTAAAAAAAAGTACTTAATGAGCTACTTTAGCTAAAATAAGCCTTCAATGACAGCGAGCTGAAAAATTCTTAAATTCTTATCATTCCTAGTGTTAATTAGTTTGTTAACCCACCAAAAATGACTGCAAGAAAGCTAAGATTTAAGCATTTAGAGTTTTTTTTTAATGTTTAATTTAAGTTTAATTAATTTTGGGCGATTTGTTTTAAATTAATAATATTTTTTAATAAATATTTGAAGTTGAATTTAAATGTTATTTTAATTAGTTTATTAAATTGATTATATATTAGAATAATATGTACATATTGCCCGTCGCTTTCATTAATAAATTGGAATAAGAGGTACGTACCTAGGTACTGGAAAGTGTTTCTAGAAAGAACAAATTAGAGCTTGGTAAAGTATTTCATTTACATTGAAAAGATATTATATTATAATTAATTTGAGGGCGATAAATTCCTAAGGTATAAAGAATGATAAAAAAAAAACAATATTAAAAGGCTTATGACCCATGGTCCAAAAAACGAGTGATTTTTAACCTCCAAATGTTTAAAACATTGCTTTTCTACAGCCATTTTTGGTTAGTTAAGAAACAATGACAAATTAATGAAGCTTCGGTTGCGCCCCTCTTGCCAACGAGAGTGAGAGAGATAGTAATAGTCCTGTTTCTTATACCCTCGGCCCATTGTTATTAAAAGAGTTGCGCCCACGTTTACAAACCACGATCCGCAAGACCGGATCACGCAAAATTAATAAAACTTAAATTAAACATAAAAAACTCCAAATCTTAGCTTTCTTGCAGTCATTTTGGTTAGTTAACAAACTAACTAACCTACTAAGGCCTATTTTAGCTAAAGTAGCTCATTAGTTTTTTTTTTGAAAGAGAAGAAAGTAAAACTTTATGTGAAATAAGAATAGAAGGGGAGTTGATTGAGCAAGTGGATGAGTTTGTATATTTGGGATGTGTGTTTAGCAGGGATGGTAGATACACTCAGCGGCACGGAATCTTGGCCAAGCGGTTATCTCGCGATAGCAAAAGCTTTAAGTGTTTCTGATGAATGTTTGTTATGCAGGTATGTCAAAAAATGTTTGCTCTCAAGTTCAAGAGGGTAATTCATTATGTTTAAGTGCACCATGACGAATTCTTTAATTTTTAGTTGAATCGGGTCATTTGAGCGACTAAGTTCACATTTTAAATTTATGTGTTGTGAAAAGTTTACTGTAAGGTTATTCGATTATTGTGATCTTGTGTCTTAATTCAATAACTAAAGGTGCTTTAAAGCCAATAAAAATGCCATTAACACCAGCACAAGTTACACAAGCAGTAGCATTAATTGACCAAGGGCTGACACAGCGTGAAGTTGCTATTGTGCTTAACGTACCACGGTCCTCAATGCAGTATTCACTGAAACGATACCAGGAGACAGGACGCTACACCCGCAGGCCAGGCAGTGGGGGCGTAAGGTGCACATCGGCCCGGGACGATCGTTTTATTGTTATGGAGATTTTGAGAAACCGCTACCTGACCGCTGTTGAGATACGCCAGCGGCTCCAAATCGCAAGAGGCGTTAATGTTAGTGAGCGTACGGTGAGAAGACGAATGGAGGAAGTGAATTTAAAAGCTCGTAGACCAGCACGAGGTCCAGAACTTCTCAGACAGCACCGAGTAGCCCGACTTCAGTTCGCAAGAGAACATGTCAATTGGACCCACGAGCAATGGGCTAGAGTGTTGTTCACAGATGAGTGTCGAATAGCTTTACGTGCTCCAGACGGTCGAGAACGAGTGTGGAGAAAAAGAGGAGAGAGGTTTCTACCCATTACCACCACCCAAACTGTGAGTTTCCATGGAGGCTCAATAATGGTATGGGGAGGTGTAAGTTCCGACGCACGTACAGAGTTGGTCATCGTCGATAATCGGCTTACAGCTACTCGATACATCGAGGAAGTTCTTCAGGAGCACGTAATGCCTTATTCGGGATTCATTGGACACGACCAATTCCTCCTCATGCACGATAATGCACGCCCGCACGTCGCACATTGTGTAGAGGAATATCTGGAAGAGGTGGAATACAAAAATTACAGTGGCCAGCTCGTAGCCCGGACTTAAATCCAATTGAGCATGTATGGGGTATGTTCAAAAGAAAGATAAAGTCCAGCTCCAAACCGCCACAAACTAAATGAGCTCCGAAATGCAGCGCTGGCCGCTTGGGACAGCATACCGCAAGTTAATGTCAGAAACATCATTCAAAGCATGCCAGATCGAATGCAAGCGGTTATCAGGGCTAGAGGAGGAAACACCCGATATTAAAACTGATAGACAATAAAGAAACATACTTAATTTTTAACTTTGTAGTGTTTTTAAAGTGACAATGGAAAGATGTTAATTTTAGTGAAAACATGTTATCTTGAAAAGAAAAATTTCGGTGAAGTAAACATTAAATTTCTACGTTCTAAGACCATTAGAGACACTTATTGAATGCATCTACCCTTAATTTACTGTTAAAAAAACGTTTTAGTGCAAATAATCAGCAAATTCACGAGTGGCCAAGTTTCCGTGCCGGTGAGTGTATGATAAGGATATAGAACGACGAGTGAATGCAGGAAATAGAGTGAATGGGGCTCTACACTCTATTGTGAAAAGTCAGAATGTGTCCAAAAAGGCACGTATGGCAATTCACAATGCTGTGTTAGTACCTACTTTAATGTATGGTAGTGAAAGTTGGGTGTGGCAGAAGAAGCATGAGAGTAGAATAAATGCTGTAGAAATGCGGTCATTAAGGAGTATGTTAGGAATGAAGCTGAATGACAGCGTGAGAAATTGTTTAGTAAGAGAAGAGTGTGGTTTGCAAGATGATGTTGTGACCAGGATTAAGAAAGGAATGCTTCGGTGGTTTGGCCATGTAGAAAGAATGAATGAGGAAAGAGTGACAAAGCAAATTTATGTTGCAGAGGTGAACGGCATAGTCGGGAAGGGTCGCCCTAGGCGAAAGTTTATCGACCAAATTGGCGATATATTAAAAATGGGCCAAATCAAGAGTACCTTTAACCGACGAGCGTGTATGCGTAGGTATATGGATGTGGAGGAAGCGAGAGAGGTGTGTCAGGATCGTGCCAAATGGAAGTCCATAATCTCTGCCTACCCCTCTGGGTGACAGGCTTGAGTGTTTATGTATATGTATGTATGTAGCTCATTAAGTAATTTACTTAATGAGCTACTTTTTTTAAATGATTATGAAAGTTGATAGTCTGGAAAATTCTTGAGACCTACTTACGAACCTTTAAGTCACCTGTTTAGATTTTTAAGTTTAGTTGCCAAAAAAATCTCGAAAATGTCTTCCAGCCTTTCAGATTGCTCTCCAGTGTTACAATTATTCAGACAATTGACTTATTTTCAAGAAAGGGAAATAAACGTATTGCCTAAATTATGCAGCATTTGATTATTTATATAATACAGTGTAAGCTTTATATAACGAACTGCTATTTAGAAAGACTCCATAAAACCAGTAATTGACGGTTGTTTTTATCGTATTAGTCATACGTACAATACACTAAATTTAGCGTCACACCACTCTCAATAGCGAAACATCACGTCATCATTAAGAACGCAAGTCATCGTACATATGTATAACTGCTTTACCAGAGATTTTGACGGCTAGCAATGACTTGTTTAGCTCGAGGCCGCGGGATCGAATCCCGCACGGAACAAGTATTTTGTATGGCCTACAAATAATTGTTCCGGGTCTGGATGTTTGTCCTTGTGCAATTTATGTTTGTAAACTGCCTAAACGATGCAGGAGAAAATCCTAGTGAGGGGGGGGGGGAGCGTTTTTTAAATATTTATCTAAAAAATCTGTCGTAAGAAAAAACAATTAAAATATTGAAATTGCAAAGAAGCCAAAAAAAGGTGACACTACTTATAATATGAATCAACCAGTTAGACTTAGAGTCATTGCTATGATGGGCGCGTAGAGACGAAATAAAATATGTTAATCTTATCATACTCTGATTTAATCTGCGACTAAATACAATGATATATTCGGATACATGTATGTTGTATATGTTTAGTGTTATATGTATGTTTATGTTTAGTATTATACTGTATACAGTTTCTAGAAATCAGGTGAGAGGTGGGTGAGACCTGTGATCCTCACTCAGGGCTTCGAACGCTAATTGAAAAACTAAGTCCTCGCGTAGTGTCATTTTGTGGAGTAAACGTCTATAATTCCAGAAA